GCCCCCCCTTCCCACAGTGAAAACGTCCCCTTGTAATTTCCCTGGCTGGTGGTGCCTATTCTCTTGGTCCTCCTTTCCCTTTCATTCCTGTGCCTCTTTCAAATTTGAAATTTCCCCTCTGAGATGCCCTGTTTTTATTTCTAACAGCTTCTTGCGTGGCTGTCATAACTTTAGCTTTAGTTCTGGCCTTTTCTTTATCCCTCCTACCATGTACTTTCTGTGCTTCTCTCAGGAGTTCATCCAAACTCTTACTATGCCAGTCATCTGTTTTCTCTAGCTATTTCTTGATGTCTGGCTACGAGTGAGTCACAAAGTTGACCCTGAGTAGTTCCTGCCCTGCCACACTCGAGGGATCTATTCCTGAATATTGTTGAATATCACACCTCAACCATTCTGACCCCTCAGTGGGTGTTTCCTCCTTCCCCTGCTGACCATCGAAGGCTTTACTCGCATTCTGTCCTCTCGGGGCTGCTGCTTTGATTCCTTTCACTATTAATGACCTGTAGCCACTCATCTCTCTCCTCCCCTCTTGTCCATTCTGATTCCACTGCGGAGGGGTTACGGGGAGTTTCTGTTCCCCGGGTATCCCCTGCTGATTTTCTCTCTCCTATATCCACATTCCAGCCGTTCTGATCATCTGTCTCTCTTCAGGGGAAAAAAGGATTCCCATACTTGACTGCATCTCCTCCCATGTATGTATATTGGGTCCCAGAAATTGATCAATCTCTTCCGACAGCCCCACAGGATCCTCTAATAACTTCTTCATCTCTTTCTTATACGCCCTCCCTTCTACATTAGTGAGCGGCACATCCACAAATCCTACCCCCCGCCCTTGAATTCCTGCCACTGGAACGTCTCACAAGGGACAAACCCGAGCCTCCCCCTGCTCCCTTTCTGGAGCCCTTAACTGGTTCCTCCCCCTTTGTTGCTGCCGGGTTTCAGGTCTGACATTAACAACAGGGGCCTCCTCACCCGCATCCTCCTGGTGCACCCCTTGATTTTCTGGCTGTGCCAGGTTATATGGGGGGGGGTAGGTTATCCAAAGGGTCCCATCTCTTTTCCTTCCTCTCTCTTTTATCTTCTTCAACCTGTTCCTTCTGCTTCAGCTTAAAAATCTCAACTCTCCACGACCCCGTCCAACACGAGGCATATTCACTCTCTTCTTGATTAAACGGTTCCTTTGAATTAACATAAATATTAAGAGCTTGACAAAATCCAATCCTGATCTGATCCATATTTTGGCCAATACAACAAATCTTCCCTGATAGGTCCTTTAGTCCATTCAAATATACAATAATTCACCATCTTGATCTTACTCTTTCCCCTGGTACATGAGCTGTTATCCCAGTTTGCTGATTTCATTCCTAATAGGCTGTCTGATGGAATACTGCCTGGTAATTTCTTGTTCCCTTTCTTTCCAGGGCTAGGCTTTCCCGCCCCCTGTCCCATTTTTCAGCCTTTCCCTAATGGACTGTGTGGGAAGTGGCAATCCTTGGCTCCCTATTGTCCATGGAACTCAACTGCCTAGCTTCTAGCGGACCTGGCACCTCGTGTCTCACACCCCCCCCCCCCCTCTTTCAGCCCTCCCCCTTTCCCACCACCCGGTCGGTACTTACAGTCCTTTGTTCCCACCCGGGACTTGTGCATGAGGTTTAACGGCTGCCGCGGTCTCCAGGGAGCCCTACCCCCCCTCTTTGGCCCACGAGTCCCCCGCTGGGATCGTCACCATCGACCTCGGCTGGCGCCGGAGGGGACCGATGAGACCCCTGAACTCAGCGGGGCGCGCCTTCCCTTCAGGCTGTCCTCCCGCACGAGCCCCCAGTTGTGAGAAGCAAGCTCACCTATATTAAAAAAAAGTTTTATTGGGGACAAAGTCGGTGGAGCAAAGAATACAACGCTGGGCGCAGTGGCGCACCTTTTGCCTTAGCAGGGGTTTCTTTTTAGAGAGCAACCAGGAGATTTCGTTGGTTGAGCGAAACGGCGGGTTTCTTCTTAGAGTTCCAGTCCTCTTCGCACCGGCGCAGCTCCTTTTTCTTGGTTTCTCCGAGGCTGTCTCTCTCAGTACTTTCCCACTGCTTCGCTACTTTTTATCACAAAACAGGCAGCTGGGAGGCAACCACAATGTTAGATGTAACCATTCTGTTTAAACATGAAATCAAAGAAAGAAGAATGCAACACAACCAAGCCAAGTAACAAGCCCACTCGCTTTCCTTCCCCCGGTTCTTCTTTGGCGTTTACAGCTGGTCTCAGTGGTCCTCTGGGGTGGTTGGGGGGGGGCACGATGTCCAAGTTCTTCTTCATCTGGAGTTCTTTGTTTAACCCTTTTCTGCTGGCTTCCGTTCCTCCCCACCCCCCCAATCCAAGTTCCTCTCCATGACGCCTAACCACAGACCCCCCCGTTTGCTTGCCCGACTCCCCACAACGTCCAGCCATATGCCTAACTTGTGATGGAAAAGGCTTCCTCAACTGTTACAATTTTAGCAACACTGTGCTAGCAACCCTGATTTCATAACAGCTTCCGTCTAACTCAATAAAAGTAATTGTTTAATTACTTTTAGCGAAAGCAAAATTCTACCATTACTTCTTCCAGAAGGCTTTCAAAATAATTGTTAGGCAGCATCTCTTCGCATAACTATGACAGTGTGTAAAATATTAGTATGTCGACAATTAAGGTAATTTGGGTTGTAAGAGTACTATCAGGAAAACAAGAGCTGTGATGGAGAGGCCGAAGTGTTAATGCCACGCTGCTAAAACTTCGCATTTTGAGTGTTAAAAGCGACTTTCATTTTGATGACTGCCTCCGTGACGCCTCCCTTCGATAACACCTCAGTCTCCCGTGTTAATGTACGGCGCCGGAGCTTGGGCGCCTGACAAGGGCAGGCTGAGCAGCCCGTGGGCCGTGTCCCCACGCGGCGCTCCCCGTGGCGGTGCGGTGCCCGGCCCGGCTGGCGGCCGGGGCCCCGGCGCTGGTGGGAGTGGTGCCGTGGGGGTTGCCCAAGGGTCCTCCTCCCGTCCCTGGGGGACGCTAAGAGATCGTAGCTGTGGGATTTAAAGTTCTGAGTGGGAAAGAGAGGAGATACTCACCGAAAGTTCGTGAGTGTATTCCTTGTAATTAGCGGTCCGCTGGAGTAATGTCCTGACAGGAAGAATAGAGAAAGGGAGGATCTAACGAGCTTGAATTGGATTAGCCTTTTTGCTTAATTTGCACAGAAGCAAGGAACGTAGTGGTGTTAATTACAGTTTTAGTGTATCGCAGGTTTTTTATGTGCTCTGTTGAAGAATTTTGTCCCTTTTATGGTCCTAAAAGAAGGTATGTTTTTACATAGTGTTTTTAATTTTTTTTTAAACAGCCTGTTTGACTAGAGTGTGCTAATCAGGACTCCTTGGCAGAAAGACGGTACGCTCGCAGTCTTTTTTTTATAGTAGTTTTTTATCTCGTTCTTGCCTCTCTGCTGTTACTGCGTTGAAGATGAGCGCGCAGGGCAGAGCTGCTGGGTGAGCTGGAGGCTCGCTGGGCGGCCCGTGGTGAAGTGGTTAACCTTCACGAACAGAAAACCACGGATGACATTCATACAAAGCACAGACCTCGCCTAACAGCTCAGCAGTGTCTGTTTTAGCCCCGTGTTACAGGTATTAAAAGGTTTTGGAAGGCTTAGCAGAAAGAAGAGCGTGGCAAATAGGACTGGCAGGGGTGTGAGCTGTGGTGGAATCGAGGGGCAAAGTGCCCGACCTTCCCTGGGGCAGGAGGAGACCTTTCTGTAGGAGAAGTGCTGGGGGATGACTTGGAAGGAGTTGTGTGGCCTTGTGCTGTTTGTTGCACAGCAGGAGTTTTAGGGAGGGTGCTGGTAACGTTGGGATAAATCATCTGGTAATTGGGAAGAGAGCACTGCGGGTTACCCCAGCGTTCAGGTCAGTGGAAAACTCACGCAGTGGCAAAGCTCTCAGTAAATGATTTTAAAGAAAAAGCATTTCTTTCACCTTTCTCCCTGAGAAGTAAAAATCCTGGATAAATTATTCCATATGATACATGTTGAAACAGGATTTGTTTTTTAAGCAATTCACTCCTATTATTTTAAACCGCTTTTTTCAGAGTCATTAGCTGTTAGAAACTACCTTTTTGTTAATAAAAAAGAATATTACATTTGCATAAATTACTTGAGCCCTTTTTCTGCCTGTACTGCTTGCCATGGCATACTTACATTTGCTAGTGTTAAATGAGTCTAAGAGACTTCAGGTTCATGATACAAACCTGCTGGGTATAAGATCAAGAGTTATCTTCCATTGTGCTTTGAAGTGAACTCAGAATTGATCGCATGATAATATACTTTGGAGGGCTTCTTCATTCAGGTTTTAATTATGGAACTGAACACAAGATACAGTACATCTTAAGGTACGCACCTGGAGAGAAACAGTCTTTTTGCATACATTACAGATTTAAAATTGGTGCAATTATGCCAGCTTTTTACAATAACTAATTTGGTTTTAACATAAATTTATCAATCTGTTTGGACGGAAATTAGTATTTGCAAGATATGCAAGTTCAGATGGAGACAGGCATGAGGCTGTTTTCCTATTTAAAGAAGTATCATTTAACCTTAAATCCATTCAGTGTGTGTGTGTACATATGTATATTTGTTACAGAAGTGAAACAGCTTATTCAGATAATATCAGGCTATGTCATATACTGTGAAAAAGCAGGTTATGAGCTGCCTTCTGTTTGTTAACATAGTTTAATGCTAATTACTTTTCCCTTCCTTTATGTTTACTCTCTGAAAAGCAGTTCCTGTTTGCACTGGATGGAGGAGGCAGGGAAGCACCGTTCCTCTTCATCCTGCAGGTTCCTTCTCTGTCAGAAAGAGAATTCCAAAGTTTGCTCTCAACTATACATTTTCTATCCGTTAATACACACTCTTTATCTTTTTAGCTTTTCTGTGATTTAGTTTGTTTTTATTGGGAATCTGCTTACAACATCTTTTTAATGGTCTGCTTTGACTTCCCAGAGCATCAGAGAACCAGAAAGGAGCTGGAGGGAAGAAGACCCCAATGTTGTGTGGTCAGTATCCGACCAAGAGCGAGGGGAAGGAGCTGAAGATAGTGGTACAGCCAGAAACCCAGCACAGGGCTCGTTATCTGACTGAGGGCAGCCGAGGCTCGGTGAAAGACCGGACACAGCAAGGCTTTCCGACTGTAAAGGTAGGCTCTTTAGTGTTAGGTGATACGGGGGCTCCTTTCCAAGGGGTGCTTTAGCAGAAAGGGAACTGGCTCAGTTCAAAGAGGCCTAGAATCTCTATTTTTAGCTGGAAGAGGCGGGAGGCTTTGCGGCCTCTTTGCTGTAGAGACTGTGCTGTATCTCTTCTTGCAGGTAAGGAGAAGTCTTATTTGCATCACAAAGTTACAGAAGGAAGGAAGCTTTATGTCAGGGCAATGATACATATCTGTGGTGCGTGTCCTGTTAGACTGCAGTTATATGAACTGTGTAAATAGGCACTTGAAGCATACAAAACGAGGATAGTGAGGTGCTGTAACGGTTTGATTGCTGATGACAGTGGGTCATTGTTACGCCTTGTTGGTAAGGACGTACAACTCTAGGTTTCATTTAAAAAAAAAAAAAAAAAAGTGGGGTTGTGGGTGTTTTGTTTTTTGGGTTTTTTATAATAAGAAGTATCTGAATCCACATATCCCATGTCTGTCTTTCAATTAGAATCATAAGGCTCTGACTGAGGTGTACTTTAGGGGTTGTACTGCTCAATATGGTTAGCAGTAGTGAAGTACACGTGGATTAGTAGAACTGGAGAATGGAGGGGAGAAAAGAGGAAGCAGTTGTATGCACACTTAACAAATGCAGACTTTGGCGCCTGAAAGTTTAGGTGTTGATGATCACTTGCTCTGAGGCAGGGATGATGGGCACACAGGACTGACCGGTGTCCTCAAGCCTTCTGCTCAAGGGGAGGGATCTGGATAGAGCAGATGCAGTCAGGAGTTCAGGGCCTGTCTGCAGAGCTGGTTTCTCCAGCAAGCATTGAGCTGCTTTGTTGGTCTTCCTTTGTGTGGAGGGTAGAAGAGGATGACTGATGTAATTCACCTTGCTCAAAGAGGGGAAAAATTGTTGGTCAGGCTTGCCAGCCTGGTGAGGAGGGTTTTACTGTGGGTTTGTCAGAGGATGGGGACCAAAGCCCAGAAGGGAAGGAGGAGCTACAAATGGAGGAGAAACAGTAGGAAGAAGGCTACAAAGAGGTCTTTCGCATTCCTGCTCGAAAGGGAGAACATGCAGGGGCTGTTCTCCAGTGACTGCACACTAATGCACAGTGTGAGTTTACAGGTCTTGTTTCTTCCCGTGCGTAGTCACAGGGCTGTGACTTGGCTGGAGTTGCAGAGACGTGGGGTAGCATACTTGGCTGTAATGCAGCTGTGGATGTGCCGCGGCTGTTTAGAAAGAAGAGAGGACGTCGTGTAGCATAAGGAGCTCCCTGACTGCACAGACCTCCAGCATGAGATTAGAGACTGTCCTGTTGAGATCAGAGGAGGGAGGAAGCTCAGGGACAATGTTCTGGTATCTGTTACAGACTGCCTGGCTGAGAATACGCTAGGCAGATGATTTCTGTAGGTAACTAACAGGAGTCTGGGGCTCACAGAGCTCTCTCCTCGTGAAAGGTTTCAGCCATCCATCCGTCTGCAAGGACGGCTACATATCCTCGTGGAAGCAATCGAGGAACGTTAGGACTGTGCTTGTGAAGGTTTCCTAATAAAAACAGTGGAGAGGCTTGCCAGGAGCGATGCTGTACTTGAAACAGAAAAACTGATGACAAATATCATCATCCCAAGTGTGGCAGCGACCACGGTGTGGATGTGAGAGCAGACACTGAGCTGAATACAGGCCAGCATTGCCCACTCACTGGAGCTAAGGCAAACGGCATCCTGGTCGTGTTGGGAGGAGTGCAGCCAGCAGGTCGGGCGAGTAGGCAACTATATTTGTTATCGTACAAATAAGAAAGATAAAAGACATTTCCCTTCATACTTTTTCTTCATTATGCCGCTTTGAGAAAGCAGCAAAACAGTTCTTAATCCAAACTAATTTACCAGGTCTACAAAGAAATGTTTATGATACAGCCCTTACCATTTGTGCTGACTGCTGCTGACAGAGTATACAAGTATACTTATCTTTAAAGTCCTGTTCAACAGTGTTCAAACATCTCCAACACTTCACTCAGTCCTCCTGAGTAATGTAGAAATCCAGTAAAGTTTCATAAGAAAAGAATCCATTCATATAGTCCTGTTGCTATGGTGATCTAGAGCTCATTTATGTGAATTTTCTTAATGAGCCTTTGTTCAGCTGAATTTCCTTTTAATTCCTTTCCCAGTTACCCTTTAGCACCCATCGACGAAAATTCTGTTTGGAGAAGAGTCTTGTGTTACTGAATTCCTGGAAGCTCAAGCTTGTTTTACCAGTAGGCAAACTGGTTCATACCCTGCATATAAAAGTCTGCCAGGGTTGGATGGACAAAATGCGTTAGTGGAAAAAAAAATATGTAAAGGAGAAGAGGACTTTTTGTTTTATTTGGGGTTTTTCAGGGGTGTTTTAAAGATGGGAAAAAACAGTGTAAAAATGTTGCTAGTTCAGTAGAGATCTGGTGCTTGCTGTCCTCTGACAGCACCTGGGATGGGCACCCGTTCAGGTGCATCACTCTTAAGCAGACTGAGGAGGAGAAGCAGGTTCTGTGGCCCTTTAAAGAAAAAAAAAATGATACTTGGTGATTTAGAGCTCGAGAGTCTACAATCAATATACAACATTAAAACTGTATAAACAAACCTTAGTCAAGTGACTTGTCTGGCAATAGAAAGCTTACCCTGAACGCACAGGGTCAGCGGAGGTTATTCCAGCCATCAGGAGCAGATTTTCACGTTTTCTTGCTAACAGTATTGCAAAGCTGAAGTGGTTACCACCCAGGTGGTGAAAGATGCTCTTCACACCTTTCATACCTTCTAACCAGAACACCAGAGAAGAGAAGCAGCAGCAGTTAGCTGTGGCAAGGCTGTTTTTAGCCAAGGAGACCTTGGTGGTGTGACCCAAAGACTGTTCATTCAGCTTTCCACACTGAAAGATTCAGTGATAGAATATCAGGATACCCGTTGCTCCCCACTTCCTTTGACCACCTGGTGAAAATACAAGATTCATAATAGTAAAAAAAGTAATTTCACCTGTTTATTAAATGACTGACTTGTCTTTTAATGGAAGAACAAATGGCAAAAGATAAAAAATATTAGCCTTTTGTTTATAAACTAGATGGCATTTTTTTTTTTTTTTAATCCTGCCTCCTTTAGGATTGCTTCCAGCAACACTGGGAGCAGATTCACTTCAAATTCAGCTGCATAAGATGTTTTTTGTTTTAATTAAGAGGCATTGCTGGCCAGTTGAAGTATTTCATTGTGTTGCCCTGTTTCAGCTGGAAGGTCACAACGAGCCGGTGGTGCTGCAGGTTTTCGTGGGTAATGACTCAGGTCGAGTGAAGCCGCACGGGTTCTACCAGGCCTGCAGAGTTACTGGGAGAAACACTACTCCCTGCAAAGAAGTGGATATAGAGGGGACTACTGTTATTGAGGTTGGACTGGACCCGAGCAACAATATGACACTCGCGTGAGTACCTTTTATTTTTAAAAATGTTTTCATTTATTTGCTTGTTTTCAGAAACTAATTTACCTTTTTTGATTGCACTGGTTAGTAGTTAAAGGTCTGAACATCTTGGCACACACCAGGCACTTAGTGAAGCTGTATGTATAAGAAAACTTTTCAGTCGTATTCTCAGTTTGTTTATTAATGCTTAATCTGGTCTTCCGTAACCTTTATCAATTAACTCTGTTACATTAGTTTCATGTTCTGTTTGATGATAATGTGCATATTCAAGCATTACATGAGCTATAAACTGCTCACTGGTTCTGCTGGGTGTCTTGTCTTTTAACAAGTGCAGAATTGCTGATCAGGAGAGGGAAGGAGAATATTGGGCTCTTCGGATCCCTTTAGGCCCAGAAGGCGGGGAGCTGCGGATAGCGGGGCTGAACTGGCTTTTCTCCTCTCTTGCTTCGCTCGTGCCACCTCTGTCGTCTCCACCAGACCGTCCTCTGGCGTGGCACGCTGCAGCTTTGTGCTCTTCCCAGAGCTTGGCTGGCCAGGCAGCGGCAGCGCTGCGGAGGGAGGTCACAGACGCGTGCGGGCAGCGCGTGGCCGCTGCCGGGGGGCTGCGCTCCGTCTGATGGCAGGTGGCCTCCTCTGCCTGTGTGCTCTGGGTCTCACAAGGAACTTCAGATATAAGCTCAATTCCCTGAGAAGCTTTGCACGTGTATCTTAGTAGATAGAAAGGAAGTGATCTTCTTTCAAATTATTCTTTTCAGTAGCATATCTTGGTTTTTTTAGTGGCTATGTGGTTGAGAGCTGCCACTCTTAGAAGAGTGTCTTTTTTCAAGAGAAGACACGTTTCTGCAACTTAGTGTCCACTTCTTAAGCAGGATAATACAGTTTGCTGACAGACTGGATCCATTTGATTTTTTTAATATAAAATATATTCCCATGATAGGTTTGGAACCTGCAGCTTAGAGAGTAATTTTGTAATTGTCCTCAAGCGTTAATGTAAAACTACATATGTATAGAGATACTAGAAAGATGAATTTAGAATTATCTGGGAGGAAGAGCTTTGCCTAAGCTTTTTTCTCAAAAGATATCTTGAAGCCTCAGAATAAGTCTCCCTAGTATTTCAGTGACGCTGTAGCACCTCTCTCTCAACGGTAATGCTGGTGCCACCTTTGCCATCACACTTCCCCCCTGCTCTCTGCTCCCCAGCTGCTGCTCGTTGGCCTTGATGCAGCACAAAAATTTGTTCTCAAATTAGATATGGGATGGTCCCTCTACTTTTTGGATGTAGGGCCTAAGATCCTGGTAAATTTACAGTGTTGTTCTTAACGCATCAGGCTGTGTTTGGTTTTTTTGTTTGTTTGTTTTTTGCTTGAAACCATTTTGCATCCAGCATGTCTTTCTGACAGTTAGCACTGCATCACTCTCTCACCCTGGCCCTGTATACATTTCCCGTAGGACCACAGTTACGGTATGACGTATCTATCACTTCCCAGTTCCACTGAGCATAAAAAAATAATATGACTACAGTAAGTTTTCTTCTACTACTGCTTTAAGTGAATGCAGAATATTTTGTAGTAATAATCCTACAAACCCAGATCTAGTCCTAGGAATGGAAGAATGAAGATCTGTGATTAAAAATTGAATGCTTACCAGAATTACTTTGTTACATTGCATTTTCTGTTTTATTCATACTACTTTCGGATTCCTTCCTCCCATGATTCATGATCCAAATTATGTAGGGATGAATTGAAAACCGGGCTATATAATGAGAAAGGTCATATAGAAATTTCATGTAAATTTAAAAAAAAAAATTCAGTAATTACTTCAAGAGTTTTGACTTTGTGGCTTGCGTAACTAGTCGAAAGATTATTAAAGAGGCTGAACTTACTAAACTCTATTAAACTCTCAACTATTTTGTGTTGTTAGGGTTGATTGCGTGGGAATACTGAAGCTGAGAAATGCTGATGTTGAAGCTAGGATAGGGATTGCTGGTTCCAAGAAAAAAAGCACACGTGCTAGGCTGGTATTTCGTGTTAACATCACTCGCAAAGATGGTTCAACTTTGACTCTTCAGACACCTTCTTCCCCAATTTTGTGCAGTGAGTATCATAATAAAAAGTTGGTATTAGAAGACTCTGGATTTTAGTGTGATTGCCATAAAATGCCTGGGGGGGAAAAAACCCCGATGTTAATCTGTGATTACTTCAGAATTGCTATGGTTAAGATCACATGGATTGATTTTTATTTGGGGTGGGGTGTTAGTTAAATGACTGACCAGTATTTAAAAGTAGTTATAACTTTTATTAAATGATTTTTTGCCTTTTAAAAGGTCAGAATTTTGATCATGATCGCTTTGAATTTACTGTGTGACTTTTTTGATACGTGATTTAATCTCTTCTGTATGGTCACGTTGATCTGTCAGCTTTCAGTGGTGGGAAGGACTTGTGATAAGTTAGTAGGCATGGCTCCCTACAGCTGTGGCAGCTTGTTGGGCCGGGGGCTGAATCTGTTCTGGTTCAGTGCAAGAATGAAACTTCTTCCAGCTCCTTAGTGAGACGCTCTGTTCAGCCCTGAGCGCGGACGGCTGGTCGGGGTTTACTGAACGCAGGGAAAATGGAGTTGGGAGGCTGCCTGCACTTCTAGAGTCCGCAGTGACTTCCAGTGATGGGGAATTCTGCTCATCTGCCAGAGAGGGCACAGGGAAATGCGTTTGGTACAGCTGTTGGTGGGATTACTGGTAGGTCCTGATGAACAAGAAGATAGGAGAGCTTTTTCTCCGTTCATGGAACGTAGTATGATTATGCAAGCTCCTGGGCACTTGTGCTGTGCTCTTTCCACTGTATAAAAAGTTACTGGGTTTTGGCATTTTGTTTTGTTTTGGTTTGGTTTTTTTACCTTTTTTTTTTCCGCTTTTTTTCTTTTTTCCTTCTAAATACTGTCAGTACCTATTGTGTCAGGGCTCCTATTCAACTCATCAGAAACTGCAGCTTTGTTGCCAGCAAAAGAAAGAGATTGGAAGAGGAGATAATTAGAAACATGTGAGCTCCCACATCAGATACCACCATGCAGTTCCAGTGCTGCAGGCAACAGGCGATTCCCCCAGAGAATCCCTCGGGGAGACTCGGGGAGAGCAGGAACCTCTGGGAAGCCCTGGGCGGGCTGGGAACCACAGCCGAGCCGCTGCTGACGCCGGGGAGGACTCTCCTCTCTTCAGCAGTGTGACGTTTGGGGTGCTGTTCCAGAAGGGTCAGCTTGAGGTGTTCCCGTCCCTCTTTTTTCCTCCGCCTGCCACTTTTTGCCAAATCTTTTTTTCCAGTGTGTTTTAAACTGGCGGTGTTCTCAGATTTATGCATTTATGTTGTTGGAAAATAAATAAGTACATTTGCTAGAAATACAGTTGTCTCTGTAGCTCTGGTTCAGTCAGTATGGCATTGTAGAATCTGATATTACTTTTCAGATTTAAGAAAAGACATTTTCTATGAAATCACTAAAAGCTATTTCTAGATAATTTTGTTTGTATCATCAACTTAATGGTTAAAGCTAAAATTATTTAAATCATAGCAAAAATGGGAATGGAAGTCATCTGGTGTTTTCTTAAACACATAACAGTCCAAAACTTGCTATTTTAAGTGGAAGCTGAGTGTCTGAGATGTTTTAGAGACTGATTTTAAAATAGGCTATTTATCTAAAAAAGCTGTCTCTGATTCACTTCCTGCTTAGCTTGTTGGTAAGGTCATTCCAGTATTGGTTTATGAGGGTTCCTTGTAGTCTTCCTTGTCTGTTTGTTGAATGCATCCATTTATACCTGTAACATCAGTAGCTACGTTTTGAGATATGGGCAGTGGGCAAAAAGGAGAATATGTGAGAGTGATGACACGCTGAGGGACCTTAGAAGAAAAGGAAGAAGGAAATAGAAGTTCATAAACAAAAAAAAAAAAAAAAAAAGTGAATTGGTTTAGTTTTTAGCAAGCTGTGTTTGGTCAGTTGGTAAGAAAATCTTCCTAATTGTGTGAGTAGGAAAGAGGTTGCCCAGGAATTCTACAGCATCTCCATTGCTGGAAGTCTAAAACAAAGAAGCAAAATAATCTGGTTAGGCTTGTGTATTTGAGGCACGATATGGGTAAAACTGATCATGGTGTGAAGGGTGAGAGGGGAATTCTGGAGGCTCTTTCTGGGACTGTGTGCTTCTGCTGTCTCAGCTCACTCTGACGTTGTGGGGACTTGCAGTAGACCTCAGCCAACCAAATAGTGCTGGTACATACGTACTGGCTGAATCAGTATGGCATAATAAAGAACAAAGTTTTAAGTCATTTGTTTATATAAATCATCGCCTTGAGCACATTACATCTGGTTTCTTTGTTATATCTTATTACAGATGTGTACTGTACCTTCTCATACATAAGGTTTAGATTTTCACTTATCAGAGCCTGATTGTGTTGTGGTTTATAACTAACATTGCTGGCAAAGTTGCAATAATGTTCCTGAAACCGTAGGAAAGACATTAAGTAAATGCAGGCTCTTTATTTAAGGTCTGCGTTTTAAATAGGCTTTGTTAACTTGTTAGCAAACCTAAATCCAGTTACTCTTTTCAGAAGTTCATGTGCCTTGAGCATATTTAGTAGTTGCGTAATGGTTGCCTGGGAACCTGCTGCAACAGTTGTAGAAATATCCTTTCTGAAAGGTCATTAAATAATTTGGAATGTTGCACTATGTATGGTCCTGTGTGCAGTAAACCCAGAGAATACTGTTATTAAACCCAAACAGTGGGCCATGTAAGTGCAAAGCGCAAGCTTATGCCACTAGGATTTTATGATGAGTAGAAAAGGTAGTCGAGAAACCTTTATTGTAAACTGAAATTATTTTATAACATATTAAATGCGACAAACTGAATACACTGTTTTAAAGTGTCTTTAAATTGTCTTTGCTCACTTTCATTTAACACATGTGGTCTTACTTGCTTTATGCTTTGAGAAGCATAGAAATAGTTTGAAGCAAAGACAAATTGTAAGATGTGTTATAGAAATCACCTGAACCGCTGGCTGAGAGGCAGAGGTTTCCAGGGATGTGTATCTGTAAGCCGTGTTCTCTTTGCTAGTTTACAGGACATAAATTGCTATAATCCCCAACTAGAGGTGTAACTCTTGCAAGGATTTGTGTTAGCGGAAGTATATAGGTCTAGAGAGTCATAGACTGGTTTGGGTTGGGAGGGACCTTCAAGATCATCCAGTTCCAACCCCCTGGACCAGCTTGCTCAGAGCCCTGGGTTAGTTCTTGCATGAGCCTGAAAGCTGTGTCAAGTAACAAAAACAAATCTGTAAAAAGCCAGGTAATACGGGAATTACTACTTCTACCCTTTGCGTAGCAGAACAAAATAAGCTTCATAAAAAAAGGTTTTAGGAGCTTAAGGGTAAATTTGAAGGTGAGCTTCAGCTGTATCTAAGGGCTGATGCATATGTTTGTCCTTCTCTGTGTCAGGAAATTACAGAATTCTCTCCTGAACACTTCTTGAGTTTTAGCTCAAACACTGAAAGTTTTGTTTTGAAGATTTAATAAATGCAGCAGGAGAAAAGGGAAAAGATTATTAGTGAATAACTTACCAAAATGTGATATTATTTATTTATTTATTCATTTATTTATTTATTTTAAATGAGGTCATTACTGAAGAAATAATAGAAATGTTTCTCTTCTGAAAAGTTTTGTCATGAATGATATAATAAAGGGAGAAGCTCAGGAATTATTTTGTGGTTTTGTTTCTAATCCTGTAAGTAAAAGCTTTTTGTGTTGGATGTTGATATTTTCTTGATTTCGAACTATGTGGTTTTTCAATTGCAGCTCAGCCAGCGGGAGTTCCAGAGATCCTAAAGAAAAGTCTGCACAGTTGTTCAGTGAAGGGTGAAGAGGAAGTTTTTCTGATTGGCAAGAACTTTCTAAAGGGAACAAAAGTGATTTTTCAAGAGAATGTTTCTGGTTAGTGTGAAAGCAATACTGGCTTGGGGGGCTGAAGAGAGCATGGTGTTTGCCTTTACGTTGGTTGGTAAAGTTTAGTTGTAGAGAACAAACTGAGAAGCAGAACCAAAGGCACTAAAATAAATTGCTTTATATGGATGTGCAATAAAGAACGCTTTTTAACTTTCATTTAGATGAGAATTCTTGGAAGGCAGAAGCTGAAATAGACATGGAATTATTTCATCAGGTACTTCTGTATTATTATTGTTACTACTACTACTATTATAACTTAATAAATAAAAAGACTGACCATTTCCAAAGAAAAACTGGATAAGCCTTTCCCTCTTCCTGTGCATTTCTAGAAATAATATTCTTTTTCTTCAAGTAAGTTCCTCAGTGAGTCTGGTAGAATATCATTGGTTTGAGTTTATACAAGTATAATTGTTTAATTTCTAATTGAGAACTCAGATACCAGAGTAGCAGTGTCGTATGCAAACTTGGTGAGCAAGTCTATGCCCTTAAATAAAATGGAATTAAAAGGCCTAATACAGTTTTTCCAGTAGCTTTGCTAAGGCCACGTTAGATTTACTACTGAGTGGAAATAGATTGTGTGTATGCCATAGTCTTTATACCGAGCTGAATTGCTGCTCCACTCTGAAATGTACAAAATATTTGCTCATTCTTTTTGACACACGTAAGTGCCTTTATAGACTACTGGGCTGAAATTAGAGACGTTATTAGATGTAAATGATGTCTGACAAATGTCCTCGTGCTCCCACCTCTGGAGGCAGGGTTCCATGCATGTGCTGGGAGAAGTGATTTCCCATTTCTAGGGGGATAGACAGGGAGTTGGGGATAGACAGGTCGCTCATCGCTATTACTCTTGATGAAGGATTACACGCCTGTTTTTTGACGTCTGCTCAGTGTTAAATCCGCTTAAGTGTAACATGAAACTGCATCCTCCATCTGTTCACACTGAATACAGAGACCTGATTCAGCAGAACAGTGATGTGTCTCAGTCCAGCAGAATTTGATGGCAGACGTTGCAGTTCAGTAAGGCACGTTAGGCGTGAGTTTATGTTTAAAGTATTGGACTTGGTATGTCTTTCCTTTCTGCACCTTCCATTTGAGCTGTAAGTTGCCACTGAGAATCACATAAGCAGATTATTCAAATCTCTTCCAGCACATGTTAGTTATCAGTTCGCTTCACTGAAAGTGTAACTCGATCATGTTTCCCCCAGTGTCTTTTTTTTTTTTTATGGTGCTTTATCAGTCTGTTTCTCTGTTTTGATGGGTGTAAAGACAATTAAGGTCAATAGTAATGAAATAAGGTTTCTAATGTGATTTTTCTTAAATTATTTTTGCATTGCAGAATCACCTTATTGTGAAGGTGCCACCATATCATGACCAGCAAATAACCTCAGCTGTTTCTGTGGGAATATATGTGGTGACCAATGCTGGAAGATCACACGATGTGCAACCATTTACATACACTCCAGATACATGTATGTAAAATAGAAAAGTGGAGGAAGGAATGTTTTACCTGCTAAGCATCTTATTTCTGATTTTGAAATATTTAGTCCATACAACAGAAATGTTAAGTAACATGGATCTTTTAAAACTCTTCCTGCTGGCGTGGTTTGTTCTGTTAAATAATAAAATCTAAAGGCTTGGCTTTTCTTATTTATGTGGTGGGTATGTCAGGATTCAGCTGCAGGGAGACAGCTGTTCTTATAAAGTATCATCCATTTCTAGTATAAGGTTCAAAATGAAGCTGAGCAGGGAAAAAGTAGACATATTACATACAGTGCACCAAATACAACCGAAAAATAGCACCAGGCTTTATCCTAAGAAAAGCTGAAGTTTGACCATATAATGCATTTTTGTTTATTTATTTATCTGTGTTACAATACACAGTGCAAAACTTTGTGTGGGTTTCAAAGAATCTTAATTTCTTTAAGGTATAAGTAACTGTTTTGGTTTGTTTGGGTTTTGGTTTTTTTTTTTTTTTTTGCATGTTTACTGTTTTAACATAAGGAAGTTCTCAATGTGTTTTGCCTCAACAGCTGGTACCCTGAATGTTAATGTGAAGAAGGAAATCTCCAGCCCAGCCCAACATTGTTCTTTTGAAGAGGCTATAAAAGGTACTAAATTGATTCTTATCATTGTTGTTAATAATTTAACTATAAATTCCTACCCAAATTTGGAGGAATGAATCAGACGTCCTGTGAAGATAAGTCTGTGCTTATAAAATCTGGCCGTATTCTTACAATGAGGTTTGTTTTCTGATTCTGAATATTTTACTTTATAACAGTATTTATTTAAATATATTTTAACATGACCCAGTATAGAACAGAAGCTTTGCAAAAAAAAAAAACTTGAAAAAAATTGAAAAAAAAGTTTTTTCATGCCTCAGGCCCTGCAGTCTAATCTTTATTTAATGTGCTTGCAAGTAAAGAAGAAACAAGAAGCCTAAGATGGCAGTTTGTATAAAGACTTTACTTTAGAAACTGTGTAGTGTTAATTTAAGTAGAAACACACATAAAGGTACTGGTGGGGAGGAACTGAGTACTGAAAAACACGAATGTGCCAACTTGGTATTTTTCAGAAGCCGTCCAGTGGTTTTATAAAACTGCTTTCCGTGGGTCTAGTAAAGACTCCTAATTCTGGCCATTTCAACTTACATTTTCATAAAAAGTCAGTAGGCTTTTTTCCCCTGACTGGTCTATCCGTGCAGTTTGTCGTTTTGTTCCAAGGCAACAAGTTTTAGGTTTGCCTGGTTTTCAAGTGTGAAGTTAATTGATCCTTCTGATATTGGAATAAAGCAGAGGAAGGAAATGTTTCTTAGGTGACTCTTAAAACTAGGGTAGTGTACAAAGGTTAATGGAAATTTCCAGAGCCTGCTCTTGTGAAAGCAGGGTGAAAGGTAAGCAAATTAACAACATGATCCCAAGTTTGATAGGAATCCATAGCTTCAGGTTAAAATCATGAAGCTCATGTTTGAAGTTAATAGCTTGGTCTTGGCAGGGGATATATTTACAAGTTGACTTTACAACTTGTTAGGGAGGATAATACAAGATACGATGAGTTTAAACCTGCAGAGAATATTTGGGGGTCAAATATACAAAAATACATAGAGCAGTGAAACAAGCTGATAAAAGGGCTGGTAAGACTTCTAGTAGCAAGATTAAAAAGATGAGGAGAATAATAACTAATGTATCGGGGCAAGCCTGGCATCCATCTGATGTAGTGTGGAGACTTAACCAAGGGATGATACAGGCTGCTTCGGGAGAACATCTGCTCATAACAAGAGTGTGCTATTTCTGATGCTTAATGTCCTCCATTTAATTTATGCAGTAAATCTCAATTTACTTTATTGTGTGGGTTTTCTGCTAGCCAGCTCTTTTTTGAGCTTCCATTCCTGTACCTATTCTCCTCTAGGTTGATCATCAACCAGGGGTCAGATGATTTTGTCTGCTTTATGTACTTTGTCTCTGCCTGCCTCCCAGCCCGTCCTTCCTCACTATTCTGAAATGGTACCGACCAGCTGGGCATCCAGTGGGATGCTGCGTCCTTCCTGTTTCCTTTCACTGGGAGCGAAGCCCTAGCATTCATAATTTCTTAGGTGGCATCATTACGAGCAGCCCTGGCTAGACAGAATGAACTGTTGCTGCCAGGGGCACATACAGTTACTTACTGAGCTACGAGGCCTTTCTCTTCCTATCACAGGCAATTTTAATCTTTGTTTCGGGTATCTCTGAATATTCCTTAAAATAATTTCTATTACAACATCTGCATATGTATAAAAAACAAAACGTGGCTTCCCAAAGCCATTACAGATTCCTGGCTGTAACGTTTTGAGAGTCTGCAGATTTGACAGACTTCAGTGACAAGTTAGATTTCAGGACAACAGAGGTATAATTCTAATTCTAAGCTGCTCTTGGAAGCTTGGGGAGGAGGGAGTGTCTGGGCAACCCCATGTAGTTCAGGTCTTTCCTTTCTAACAGTGCAGTAGTGCTGGAGCATTGTTCTTAAGCGGTTACTGATGGTTTCGGTTCCCAGCTTCGGGAGATGAGGGAAAGAGGGGGTGTGTGCCTTGCTAAGATGGTAACTATTCAGAAGTTCTAAACTAAATGTATTACAAAAATGTAGTAAAAGGCTAAAACCAACAGTATTTCTCTGCTTTTAAAACTTCTTTTTCATTATTAATCTCATTTCTGTTTTCATTCTTCCAACCAACTAAGTCACTGTGAACAAGCGTACCATTGCTAGAATCTAATCTGTATACCATTGGGGTGTTTTTTACTTAGATATTTTTAAAAATTTTTTCTCATGAACCCAACATGATTAAGCACATAGAAAAGCTTATAAATTGTGAATATTTTTTACAGAAAAATACTGACTGCTGTCTTTAAATACGCCGTGCCACTAGGTGTCCCGAAGCAGGCGTATTTTAGAATAGTTTCACTCGAACTGCATTCCCTGCCGGCAGCACAGCCCAACGCATCAGGTCACGGGGCTTGCATTTCTGGAGCCACCCCAAACGTGAGAGTTAGCAGGAGGAGGGAAAGAGTTTATTTGGCTGTTGGTATACTGACAACTGTTGCCATACTGACGGCTGAGAATTTACTGCTGAAGACAGAAAATAACGTTCAGGAGAAGGCCTTTGGTTTTTACGTATAATGAACGCACGAGGACTGTTACTGAGGACGTGGCATACTGCTGATATAAATTGGCAGAAATGTTATTGCTATGTCATTGTAAGATTAAATTTGTTTCAAGCGTGATCTGTTGCTTTATGTTGGAGATTAATTCTTTAATTTACTTAAAAGTACTTAAGGAACTATGATTTTTAAAGGCTTTCCCGTTGGTTTGTTTTAACCTCAATTTCAGCAGTATTTGAAATCAAGAAAGTTAATTTCATTTACAGAAAAGATCTCAACATTTTTTATGTGGATCAGGAAAAATTAAAACTAAAATCTTAATTCATTTTAAGAAGCCATCTTTCTGCTTAAAAAAAAAATAGAGAAAATAGGCACTGCAAAGGCAAAATAACAACTTGCTCTTTCTGCAGATCTGGTGTGCAGATTTATCAAGCTTTTCCTTGATTTGACAGAATAACAATATAGTCCGAATGCTTTGAGCACTCTGTTCACATGGTTATCTGAAAACAGACATTTTTCAAAATGAAAGAATTACAATTAAAGTGCAGCAAAGCTTAAAATCTGGTAATGTGTGGAAAAATGCCTTAAGCTTTTATGTTTGTAGTTTAAGCGGTTGATGGATGGCTGTCCTGGGTCTAGGAAGATATGAAACAGAAATAAATCTGTGGCATTGCTGTTTGTCTTAAAAATAACTTTTGAAGATGTCAGGTTTCCTGGGATTATTTGAAGTATTCAGATGTTTGCAATGATCTCTGCGTATCAGCATCTTTCAGGAGGATGAGAGCTCCTATTGCAGGGCTGAGAAGCAAAACGGGAAGCAGGCCACCCCTAGAAGCCGACTCTTTGCGTGCCGAATGGTAACCTCTTCTTTTTCTTCCTTTTATTTTCCTTTGTGACTGCAGCAGTGAAGGCCACGGGTTGTAACCTGGAGAAGGTGAACATTCTTCCTAGTGCCTTGATAACTCCACTCATACCAAGCAGTATGATTAAGAAGGAAGATGTGGCTCCAATGGAAGTAAGTGCAGAAAAAAGATCTCCCCCTGTCTTCAAGGTAAGTTTGATTTTGGTCTGAAGACAGTAGTAGCTTCAGTGGTCCTGGTTACATCTGCCCATCAGTCCATGTTCTAATAGCAGAGAAGAGGAACACACAGGGCAAATGTCATGTCCAAGATCAGTCTGGACAAAACATACGATCCCAGAGCACAATTAAAATAATAGAGAATTACCTTTGCAAGTAACTTACCTTGTTCCTGCATTCAAACAACTTGATTGGTTAGTGATACTATGATGATCGGGTTTTTTTGTCTTGTGACACAGAAGTAGTAAATTACTGTAAGAATATTATTTTAATCACTTCCTAGCATTGCTTTCATTGACTCCTCCCTCGAAGTAGCATTTCCATCACTAGTCATTTGATTCCTTGTTTGGTTATGTATGGAGACACACATAGCCATCAAATCTGTCTGATCTCTCCTGAACTTTGGAAGCATAACCCGAATAAGCTTACGAATTGCTTAATGTATTGCTCTTTTCAGGCCTCAAATGTGGTTGGACAAACTCAACAAACATTGGAAAACAGTATGTCCGGCATATCAACTTCTGCTTCCCATTTACCTTCTGAAAATGAAAACCAGCAACAAATACAGCCGAAGGTGTATAATCCAGAGACACTAACTACTATCCAAACGCAGGACATTTCCCAGCCTGGTAGCTTTTCAGCCGTCTCTGCTCCAGGTCAGCTGCAGAACAGTGACGCATTGCTGCAGCAAGCTGCACAGTTCCAAACAAGAGATTCCCAAACCAGGGAAGTCTTGCAGTCGGATGGCACAGTAGTCACTTTGTCACAATTAACTGATGCGTCACAACAACAACAGTCGACGCTCTCAGAACCAGCACAGGCATTGCAGCAACAGATTTCATCAAGTATTTTCTCATCGGCGAGCGGCGTGAGTCAGTTACAGAACACTATACAGCAACTGCAAGCTGGAAATTTTCCAACCAACACCGCCACTGGCAGCAACAGAAATGTTGACTTGGTGCAGCAGGTACTGGAAGCTCAACAGCAGTTATCGTCTGTTTTATTTTCCGGTTCGGACAGCAGCGAGGATGTTCAAGATCAGCTAAATGCAGATATCTTTCAGCAAGTTAGCCAGATACAAAATAGTGTAAATCCTGGGATATTTTCCTCATCGGACACAGCTGTCCATTCCAGACCAGAGAACCTTTTGCCTGGGCGAGCTGAGAATGTTCACTCCCAGCCTGAAAATGCATTATCCAACCAACAGCAGCAGCAGCAGCAGCAGCAGGCGATGGAGACCTCTGCGGCAATGGTGATAGGAATCCAGCAAAACATTTGCCAAGCCGCAACGCAGATGCAGTCTGATTTGTTCTCTTCGACAACGTCAGGGAATGGAGGCCTCCAGCAGTCACCTGTTTACCAGCAGGCTTCTCACATAATGAGTGGCTTACCGACCGGCGAAGACATGCAAATGCAGTGTGAATTATTCTCTTCGTCTCCTGGTGTTTCTGGAAGTGAGACTGCTCCTACTGCTCAGCAGCAGGTTTCCAACAATGGACCTGCTATGTTTCAGGCATCGAATTCTGCTGATGGAGAAGAAGCTTCAGGACAAAGTAAACAAATGCAGAATACTGTATTTCAGACCATGGTTCAAATGCAGCATAGTGGAGAAGGTCAGTCTCAAGTTAATCTCTTTTCATCTACCAAAAACATGATGACTGTTCAGGCAAGTGGAACTCAGCAACAAGGAGGTGGTCTGTTCCAGCAAGGCGGAGAAATCATGTCCATACAGTCGGGCAGCTTTATGCAGCAGTCTCCACATTCACAAGCTCAGCTTTTTCACTCTCAGAATCCTATTGGTGATACTCAGAATATACCACAGGAAACGCAAGGCTCGCTCTTTCACAGTCCAAATTCCATTGTCCACAACCAGACCAGTACTAACTCCTCTGACCAGCTGCAGCCTCCCATGTTCCACTCGCAGAGCGCCATGGGTGTGTTGCAGAGCTCTTCAGTTCCTCAAGACCAGCAGTCTGCCAACATGTTCCTTTCCCAGAGCTCAATGAGCAACGCTGCAACGCAGGAGGAACAGATGTCGTTCTTCACAAGCCCCAATTCCATTTCTCCTCTTCAGACAGCAACAAACACTGAACAGCAGACTTCTTTCCAACAGCAGACACAGATCTCTCATATCCAGAGTTCTATGCTTCCCCAAGAACAGCCCCAGACTCAGCCTGCTCAGCAGGGTTTGTTTCAGTCTCAAGTGTCGTTAGGCTCCATCCAGTCCAGTTCAATTCCCCAGAACCAACAAGGAGCTATCTTCCAGCCTCAGCATTCGATAGTTGCTATTCAGAGTAGTCCTCCGTCTCAAGAACAGCAGCAGCAGCAGCAGCAGAACATGATGTTCAGTAATCAGAATGCAATGAGTACAATTGCTTCTCAAAAGCAGAACATGATTTTCAATCCAAATCAAAACCCAGTTACCAATCAGGAGCAACAAGGCCAGTCCATTTTTCATCCACAGACTAACATGGCGTCAATGAACCAGGAGCAGCAGCCCATGCAATTCCAGAGTCAGACTACAGTGTCTTCTCTCCAGAACCCTGGATCCAGCCAGGCAGAAGCACAGCAGCCACCCATCTTCCATAACTCCCCCAGATTCAGTTGGTCCAAGGGTCACCAAGCTCTCAAGAGCAACAGGTCGCCCTCTTCATCTCTTCAGCTTCCATGTCTGCCTTGCAGAACAGTATGAGCCAGCAAGAGCTGCAGCAGTCCCCTATGTACTCTTCTCAAAACAGCATGGCAGGAATGCAGGGAACTGCTTCTCCACCACAGCAACAGGCTGCTTTATTCCACAACACAGCAGGAGGTGCTATCAACCAGCTGCAGAATTCTCCTGCTTCATCTCAGCAGACATCAGGAATATTCCTGTTTGGCATTCAAAACAGTAAGTGATAGATGCCCGATTCTGAGTTTAAAATTTAGAAGAGCTGCTCATTGGAGTCCACAAGACAATGATTGTTCAATTATTAATAAAATACTTGTAGCGCATATTTTTTTAAAAAAAAAAAAAAAAGGGTTATGCCCTCTTCAGACAGCTCCACTAATTTATTTCTTGCTGCATTTGGTTTCAGCAGTTTATGCAATGGCTTCTTCCACATGTTGTTGAAGAAAAACAAAGGTTTTTGAAGCTGCGTAGTCCAGCAAAGTGTCTATTGAAGTGTATTTGCAACCCTTCTAAGCCTGCACTTTTCTGTGTCTCATCTCTGAGTCTAGCCTCTCTGACAGGTTCTTTGGGATGCGGATCCTTTGATCAGTCTGTAAGGGGCTGTAGGTACCTGTGAAGCTCCAGAAGTAGCAGGTGCTGATGAGGGTTAGATCAGTTTAGAGAAGCTCTGCACAGAAAGCCAGAGCTGTGTGCTAGTCCGCGGTCGGTCAGGCCGTATCAGCCAAGCCTTGCCGTGACGCTGAAGACAGGTGGTGGGAGAGGAGACCCAGTTTGCAGGTTTATAGCAGGAGCTAGCGGATACCTTGGCTGAGCTGAAAAAGACACGTCTGAATTAAGACAGGCAAAGGGTGGGCATATTCAACACTTCTCTTAGGCTCTGCGTTTTGTTTTATTTCTAGCTGAGCGATGTCCTCTGGGGTGCTAATAGCGTTTGGTCATAATACAGGGTCCCTATATTCAGTACGTACAGCTTGGATCTCTGCTTCCACCCAGGGGGGTGGTGAGCAAAGGTGGCCGTGTGAGCCAAAGTGCGTGTAACCTTCTACACAGTTTACAGTCAATAAGGGTGTATGTGAGGAGGTTGGCTCATTCACTGCATGTATTAACCTAATCTGAATGCTCCTTTGTTCTTCACTGCCTGCGCCGCAGACTGTGGCCAGCTGCTAACTTCTGGACCAGCCACGCTGCCGGATGAGTTGATGGCCATAAGTCAGCCAGGACAGCCACAGAGCGAAGGACAAGCAGCAGTGCCAACGCTTCTCTCCCAGCAGATTTCTGAGAACTCTCCACTACCTTCGGCTATGGCAACCAATCAGAATATTGAAAAAATAGATGATCTGCTTGTGTCCTTGCAAAACCAGGGGAACAATATGGCCGGCTCGTTTTAATTAGTCAAGTAAGTAATGTGTTTGGGTTTCTGGGTTCTTTCCTGCCACGCTTACTTTTGTTCAGCAAGTCTTTACTTTGGGGTGTATCACCACGCTTTAAGAGGTCACCTAAGTACCAATAATGCTGAATTAAGAACATAATACGGTGGCTAGAATGAAGAGTTACTAAAAACAATCAGGGGTCAGAATTTTTATGAAACGGTTGAGACTGAGTCTTGGCATTCAACTGCTGCATGCTTTGTCATCTGCTGTTACAGTCTAGAGTTGTATTAGGAGGGAGAGGAGATCACTGACAGCTTGGCAGGTAAAAGCACTGTGAAATATGCCTGCAGTTAAAAACTGAAGGCTTGTCGAGTAAATAACACCTCAAGTCTGTACTGTTCTGAAGTTGCCCCCTGGGTTACAATAATGTAATGCGAAAACAAGTTTTGGTAGAATATGGTGGCTATTGAGAGTGTGCCACATGCTGAGTCTTTGTGAAAAATGAGGTGACGCGATCAGCTGTTACTAGGAAACATTCTGCTTTTAGAAGGTGCCTTCTCCCGAGGGGTGGAAGAGGCTTTGACTACAGATGAGTAGCAAGAACCAGGAGGACTCTGGAATCTGGTATTGTCCACAGCGTGTCACTTGGCTCTAGTTAACCGTGTTGCCATCCTAAATCCTCCATAAGTTTCACTTCCACGATACACTCATTTTCTAATCTAAACTGTTTTGCATATTAAGTTATGAACTTAAACTAAATTAGAAAAAACAAAACCCAAAAAAACCAAAATAGAGTGGGAGGAGAGTAGTTCTGCTCTGTGAAAGAGTGCTGTGTTCTGATACTCAGAGTTTCGTGTCTGCTTGTGAAGATCACTTTCAAGATGAAGGAACTGCATAGAACGAAGAGGATGACTTCTGTAAGTTATGCCTAACGTTTTTTGCTTGCTTGTTTTTTCCTGCAGAAATGCTATGAAGAAAAAAAGTGATGATTTCCCAGATCCTCTCAGACCTTCCGACTCCGGATGAGGCTGTGTGGAACTGATTTGCTTCTGTCAAAAAGTGGCCCTCTTCTCTAAAGAGCACACACGTGGCCAATTGCAGCGTCTAGCACCTAAGGCTATGACCATAGTATTTGGGATTTGTAGTGCCAATAATGCTGAAAAGCTATGCTTTGTTTTACTAGGGCATGGAATTGTACTGTTACCAGATTCCTAAACCTCATCAACGGTGGGGTGCTCTTTGAATTTAAAGCATATCTGGTCAGTTGTTATTGTTGTTAGAAGGTAATACATGTTACCACGTTTACTTTTTTTCTCCTCTTCCTTCTTCACATCCCCTCTTTTAACTAGAAAAGCTTGTGAAGCAGAAACATCAAATGCTTGTGACATGAGCCATGACTCATAGCTGTCAGTAAGTGAAGGGATCGCATGTTTTCCAGCTGGGTGGGAGAGCTAATACTGCGATTTGGTAATTGCGGTAGGCGGCAATGAAAACTATTGATGACTGTCAAAAACCAGCAGAGAGTTGCTTGCTGCTGTAGATAACCAGAGGTGGGTGCTGCCCATCTGAGAGTGTGATGAACGGTTTCCCATGTCTCTTACGTGTAACTGTACGTAGAGCAAGGGTTTGGTGGCTCTAACAAAATGCAGAAGTGAAGGGGAACTTTCAGTGAAATTTTGCTCTTAAAATCTTACCCTCTAAAATACCTTCAACTTGAAAAGCCTGGCTGAGGAAAGAACTCGTGTGTCTCTGACTGTGTGGGTTAGAAGTCCACAAAGCTGCATTAGCCATTCCCAAACCAGCCTTCTTCCTTTCATTCTTCTCCTGGTTTTCCTTCTCCTTCCCTCAGTTTCATATTGTATTTTTAAAAAAGACATAAATATCCTACTGGCTTTAACGATCAGAAGCAGCTTTTAGGAGTCCCTGGCATTAAATTGCTTAGTCAGCAGAAGCTTTGACAAATAATCAAGGATTAAGGAGAGAGGAAGCAGTGTCTCCACCACCTTCTAAATGCAGGAATCCCCCTTAACCAGTCGTTTGCCAGCTGTTACTGATGTAAATCTTCAGCTTGACTTTACTCCAAGTAGGGGGCAAATGACATCATTTTTGAGCATTCTTGGAAATTTCACTTCATCCTGAGCTGTTGCATCTCTGTAGCATTTGGAGCTCATTAGTTTTGAAGTGATTCTTTTTTTTTCCCCCCCATCAACAGTTCCCCAAGTTGAGTTTCTAGACTGTCATGTTTCAATTAAAAAAATAAAAAAATTGACTGATGTTACAGAATGTAAAGAAAACCCACTCCAGACCATGCGGTTGTATTGTGAGGCATGTGAATTTTTTGGGTGCTCCACCTCTCCGGGCAGTTTTGTGATCTCTCACTACAGCCTCATTCAGATACTTGTTTCTTCTCCTTCTGCACGCAGCAAGCTGTTGCTGCAGTTAGAGCCAGGCAGCTGTCACGTATGGCTGTTATGCCTTGGTAGAGTGTAGTTGGGATCATGTCATTTATCATTTTTGTTATTTTAAATAACAAAGAATAGTCTGTAAATGGGTTTTAAGTTACTCTAGTCTGTTTACTGTGTGTTTTTCCCTTAACTCGTGTGCTTAGTTGAGCCGTGTAGAGTTTTTGTTTGTTTTAATGGATTTTCCTGTTTGTCCTTCTGTCCTAACGTTCTCTTTCTCTTTCTGTCTCTCTCTTTCTCTCTCTCATTGAGAGGCATTGAATTACGTTTTCAGTAGTAAGGCTTCTTGCCGATATGAAGGGAACTTTTCAGAAAGAGACCTGCTCTGGGTCATTTAATTTTGAATACAGTTTTCAATCGTTCAAGTTTTGGATGGTTTATATCTAATGTGTGTTTCATTTTTTTGGAAAGCTATATTTTGTATTTAGGAAATGGTATACTATTTTGCTATTTGTACTGAGTGAGTACATTGGCATAAATATAAAAATTTATATATATACATATATATAAAATATTCTTTTTGCCACACATTTTTGTGGTAAATTTGTGAGTTTGTCTGATGTTCTACCACAACGTGGCGTCTGATAACAGTGGGGTGGGGTGGGGTTTGTTATGTCTTTATTGAGTATTTAAGTACTTTTTGCAACATAAATAACTTGTTCATCTCTCGCCATTCCATCAGGCAGTTTATTGTTCCAGCTGGCTATGAGAAGCTTCACTGTGTGTTTTGATGTGTGTCACTCAGCAATACGATCTAGTAAGGAAACCCGTAGGCATTTAGGCGTGTATAAAATAATGGGGTTTCATTCAGAATGAGCCATTCAGCTTTTACCCACTATCATTGTCTATTTAATATTTTATTATTAGCGCCTCTGTGTTCTAACTCTTAATTTATGATTATGCTAAAATGCTTAAAATTTTAATCATGATAAAAAAATTCCCTGCTTCATAATGTCCAGAGATGCTTTAACCACCCTGACCCATACTTTTTCTTTCTGTGATGAATTTTTTTTTTTTTTTTTTTTTTTCCTGCTAAGACAAGATATTAACAAAAACTTGTTATGGTTCATGACGTGAAAACAGCAATCTTGCAGCATTGACTAAATGCTATATGAGGCTACATAGAAGACTGAGAGTTATGGACTGAAACAACTTCCAGATGGTTGTGGAGGTCGACAGCCAGTTACTCGGGAAGGAGCTGGCGGCTTTTGCAGGATCGCAGTCCCAGGACAAGCTGTTGGGTGTCGTCTGGGGCCTTCATACACAGAAGAAGTAATAGGAATGATAAATTCGTTCGTGTGCTGCTTCAGTTTGTTCCGTTGTTCCAAAGGGGTGTATCCTTACGTTGAAGTGCTGTTGGTCAGTGCCAAGTCACCAGGGACCAATTCTTCATTTAACAAGATGGGTGTCCAAAAGAGAACTTCATACCAAGACTGCTACAGCTCCAGGGGAAGGGTATGTTTGAATTGTGTGCGTATTCTAGGTCGCTGATGAAGAGGAAAAAAAAAAAAAAAGTTTTAAAAAAAAAAAAAAAGGGCTGTGCTATCACAATTTTCACTTCGGGATAACACCTTTCTTTTCTTGTATTAAATTTATCTGGTTCATTTTAGGTCAATGTTTAAATGTACAACACTTTGAACATGTGATTTGGTTACAAAAAGTATTTGTCTTACGAATGAAGAGATTGCTCAGCGGTTGATTAGTGCTTGAGCTGCCGCTTGCAGCCGGCTGTGACGGAGCACGAAGGGAGGTTTGATAAAGGCAGTCGAGGTGGTGAAGGCAGAAGGACCCAAGAACAGTGTGAGCCACACCTGTACTTTATCAGCGGCCTGAACATTTCCTCCTGTGATTTAAGCAGTTGATATTGATAATTGGAGCTTACTCTGCGCTTTTTTTTTTTTTTTTTTTTTTTTGTTGTTGTTGTTGTTGTTGTTAATCCCTGGGTTTACTCCTCTGCGGGCTCACGCTGGCGCCCGTTAGCTGCGAGCTGCAGAGGTGAGGCGGTGGCATCACGTCGTCCCCTTCGGTTGAGAAAGTTAGAAGATACGGAGATACTAGTCTCTAGAAATACAGTGTTCCTGACAGTATTGCAAAGGGGAAGTCACTATCATATCCACAGAGCAGCAGTTAAGTAGAGAGGATGAAGAATGAAAACCCGTAGAGCTGCCTTGCTGGGATGGGTTTTCTGTATTTTGTTTGTTTGTTTTTTTTCCCCCTGCTCAGGCTCGCAATTAAAAGAACCGTCAAATCGGAACCTGCGTGTTCAGTCTGGGCTGTGCTCTGCCGCTGTGCCTGTTTATACATTTTCTGTGTGTGTGTGTGTGTGTATATATATATATATGTATTTAAAAAATCATATGGGTAACACATAATACACGGTTATTAGCTAAACGTCTCCTCTGGCAGGAAGTTATTGGTGCTTTGCGCTTAATTAGCGAGTCCATGTTTTTGTTATTAATTGCCTCTTCACTGCCTGATCTTTCAGCAGTTACTCAAGCCAAATGCTTTGCTATTATTTTAACATCAAAATAGTTCAAGAAGAAATGTCAGCATTGCTGTTTCAAAGTGGATGTTTAATCACCAATCATTTTATTAAGATGACTTTTAATTACTGACAGGGTGGTTACTTCCTATGTGGTTTTAAGATAGAACGAAGCATGAACAGTTACGCGTTTGTACCTTTGGCAGGTTTTTTTTACTGGAAATTTGCAGAGTCTGGGCAGCTGTATCAGAGGACATTCCCCTAATTTAGATAAATGGAACTTTTTTTTTTTTTTTTTTAAAGCTTCTACTGTGTTTTTGGTCTAGGATATAGTTTCCAAAAAGAAAACTTGCCTGAACAGATTTTCTACTCCTGTTATCTTTCCAGAGTCTTCAGAAAGAATAGCAAACAAGTCAGAAACTTGCATCTGTCTTAAAACATAGTTTAAATCACTATGTGAGTATCAGGAAAGGTGATTTATTAAAAAGCAAACTCAAAAAGGTTGTTACTGGGCTAAAAGGCTACATGTCGTTTCCCCTGAAGGTACGTGTGTGTGTGTGCAAGGGTGCACGTTCGTTAAGAGTTAGAAAATAGTTTTACTGTCAGTTTTTGAATCTTGTGCCTCTGCGGGAAACTGTCGGGTCCCTTTTCCTGGGTGGCTGCAGGAGAGAGGAGCACAAGGGATTACGGACAGTGATCTCGGTGATCGAAGCGGGAGCGAGCAGAACGAATGGCTCTGCGTGCTCCGAGCTGTGAGGTGTGGGTGGAAGGTGGGAAGAAGAAATACTGATCACTGGTGACTTCTCATTGGCGCCGAATTCGTTTGGGAGGCAGCGGTGTGTCTTGCGTGCCCGAGGGCTGGCGGCAGCGCCGTCACTTTAGCAGCCAAAAGGAAACCAGTACCGAGACGCTTTGCTTGTTCGGGGTTTTTGTTGCAGTTCCCGGTGGTTTTTTTGGGGATGGACTGACTGTGAGCACTCGATGTTCGCGTGCGCAGTGGCAGCAGCCCCCCCAGCCCCCGGGCAGGCGCGTCTGTCCCTGCCCACGGCAGGCTGGGCTGGGGCCTGCAGGGTCGCTGCTGGGAACAGTGTAAATGTTTAGATACAAGGAGAAACGCAGCAGCAGAGGAACTCCTGTACAAGCAGAGCTGTAAAATTCTGTGGTTGAGTGCGGGGCTCTGAGGGGTTACACAGGAGGAGAGGCTTTCCCTTTCTTATAGTCTGTATAGGTATGTAAATACGCAATGCCTGTATATTCTAGGATTATATATATGTATATACTGAAATCATAACTATTATATATAATTAGTAGACACATGCATAGAATACTGTTATATTTACATTTTTATAAACCTGAAATAATATTAGTTTTCCTTAGTATGAGGTTATTTACCAAGGTTTTTGTAGTAACTCATTAATAGTTGCAGAAACACCTTTCCGTACTGTACACGTGGCACTGTTGGTAACGTTGCTCCAGAAACGCGCTCTGCTTGTGAACGTCACGACTATCCGTGGGTTGAAAACAGCTGTACACTTTTGTATTTTTTATATATTTTTACGAACCGTCGCCGGTTGGCACAGCAGTAGAACCGACAGCCTTGCTGGAGAGCCTGCCCGCTGGATGGGCCCGGGGAGCGCAGGGGCTCTGCGCACCCCTGTGCTCCCCTGCCAGCTTCCCTCGAGTGGCTCCTGATTTCGGGACCTTTTCCAGGCTCAGTCTCCCGGCCCCTCGTGCCGCTGGGGAATGGCAGGGGCGGCCTCAGCTCCGGAGGGGCTGGGCTGACACCAGCAGCTCGCTCCCCGTCGGGGTTATTAATTGTTCTTGCATAGCAAAGGATCCCGGCTGCTGCTCAGCTGGGTGGTGTTTGGATCAGGAAAGTGAAGCTTCATCTGTCATTCCTCTTTATTCTTGCAAAGGCCAGGCATATTTAAATTTTTTTTTATTTTTTTATTTTTACTGACTCTGCATTGCAACAGTCGCTATCTCGAACTCTCCTTGAAAGCTGGTGAACGCTCTCCTTAGTTTCTAGCCGTGAGGAACCCTGCCCCGACGTGATTTCTTACAGATTGTGTGAGAAATTTAAACTCTCTCCAGGAAATCCAGATCATAAAAGCAACAGAGCACGTATTTTTGTCCACCGCAGCTCTTCATGCCAAATCAGGTGTGTTCCAGTGCACTTTGCCACGGGGCCGAGGGAGAGACGTTACTGTCCTGGTACAGCTTTAGCAAAACACCTCTGCCAAACCGAAAGCGAAGGCCCGTGTTTCCCCGTGAGCCGTCCCTTCGCAGGCCAGACCTCTGCCGTTCCCGGAGATCTGGCATTGTTGCTGTTACAGTTCAGGCAGTTGCCCCACAACATTCCAAGTGTGGTGGGAGGCGGGCGAGGAGTCGGCAGATTTCCCGCTGGCTCCGGGCCGCGGGGACCCCCCACCGCCTCTCGGTCCCCGGCCGTGCCCGGGCTGGTGCAGGGGGTCCCCGAGGTCTGGGGGAGGCTCCTGGCGCGAGGCAGGAGCGCGGCCCTTCGGGGTGGTGCAGAACTGGGAGCACGTTCCCACGTCCTGCTGAGACCGCAGGATTCCTAAAGCTTTTTTCGTTCGGGACGCCGTCTGAAATGAGGCGATTTGAAATCTTTACATTTGAGCTCCTTACAAGCGAGTAAGCTCCAAAGCCCTTCAGAGCAGAGCTTTCTACCTCTGTCACTAGCTGCGTTTTTGAGTGGCTTGCCCGCCTTTCTGCCATGTGTTCTGGCGTGCACTGGTCGACCGCTGAGCTGCCTCTTCCCCCGTCCTGCAATGTGAAAGTAGCACCAGATATTCCTTTGTGCATTTCTGTGTATATGGCTTTCGTAGTTGGGATTTTCAAAGCACTGATACCCGGTGTTTTCAGTTTGTTCTATGAGGGGATATTTTATTTGCATCTATGTTTTTAGCTATCCTGTGATAACTTGTTGAATATTAAAAAATAAAAATATTTTGCTTCTATTGGGACATTTGTATACTCGCAACTATATTTCTGTAAACAGCTGCAGTCAAGAATAAAACAATGAAAGTTTTCATTTTGCAGTGTAAAGTCTTGCTGTGTTTTTTTCAGGGGCCTCTTCTCTCTGCGGGAAGTGCTCTTCTTCAGTGGGGAATCGGCCCGGCCGGGAACCGCGGGGAAGGCTGGAGCCTGGGCCGGGCGGTGCCGGAGCTGTAGCCTGAGGCACCAGATCAGGCCTGCACTGGGAAAAAACCGCGCAGCGTTTCTCTCTGCCAAACCTTTGTGGTGTACCCCCCAGCCTGCAAAGCGGGGAGTGTCCCAGGAAACTGTTTTCGGTCAGCCTGAAGCAGGATTCTGCCTCTGGGGGAGAAGCAGCGGTCCCTGGGGGCCTCTCCCGCCCCAGGGAGGTGATGCCAGAGCCCGAAGCCAAGAGGGGAGTTACTGCCTTGTAGTGCAGTTCCTGTGTCCCAACTACACCGAAGATGTGAGTCTGCTAAGGCCCTCAGTCTGAGGGGGGGGCTGCGGAGCCCCCCCAACCCGACCTCCAGCTGGAGCCCTGGGGCCGCAGCCAGGATCAGGAATTTTGAAAAAATACTACAGGGATAAGAAGAAACTACAGTTAGCCTGAGCGCTGGCTCTTCCCTTCTGGAGCTGCAGGCACTCGTTATCCTCCCTCCTCGTTAGTGCCCTGTGACAAAACACCCTGAGAAACTCTTCCCCCCCCCCCCTCTGGCAGAGGGAGGCTCAGCTGGGTGCAGGCAGCCACAGAAAGGCAACTGAACCATGGTGCTGCGTGTTTTTTTTTTGTATTTATTAGGGATGCAGGCAGGGCCTGGGGGCTGAGCGGGGAAGCTGCTCCACCTCCCTGTCCTGCTCCTCGTGGGGCAGAGCCTCCCCAAACCTGACGCTCGTCACCCCCCGTCGCGGCATCAGGCAGCAACGCCGGGGCCGATGCTCCTTCCCTGGCAGCACCGGCCCCGTCCCGCCCTTCACCTCCTCTTCACAAACTTCTTTGTCACGGCGTTGGGGTTCAGGCGCCTCCTGCCAGCGCCCAGGGCCGCGTCCCGGATTTGCAGATTGGCCGCGCGGCTGTAGACGTCGTTTTCCGCGAAGGGTGAGACCCCGGCGATGTAGTCGGGGTCAAAGACGTTGGTCTTCTGCCTGGCCTTGCGGGACAGCCGCTGCTGCGGGAAGGGTTGATCCTCCACCAGGTGAGGGTTGTTCGCGTGCTTCCCCCCTCGCGGGGCCGGCAGCGGGTACTGCCAAGAGAGAAGAGGTGGTTGAACTCGCTGCGGGGGTGGCTCTTGCTCGGAGGGGCCGGGGGGTGACTGCAGGCCTCCAGAGACCTGAGCAAACCAAGACACGCGGCTACTCACCCGGAGCCCTCGGGGGTTCAGCACCTTGGGGTTGCGGGAGAAATGCAGGTGGAGGCTCCCGTCATCGCTGACGCTCACCGCCACCTTCTTCAAGGTCTTGTTACCGCAGTTGGGGCAGAAAACCTTGGTCATGTCCGAGGTGGTCCTGCAAGACGGGGCCACAGGGGGTTTGCTGCTCGCTGGGGCCGCGGGCTAGGGGCTTCCCCATGAGCAGGATCATCCCCGCAGGCCCGTGCTCTGCGTGCACACACACACACACACACGCTCACTTGAAGCAGCCGTGGCAGCGGAGGATGTAGCTCCTGGCCTGGCGGATCAGCATGCCGTTCACCGCCAGCACGTGGAGGCCCATCTGCAGCAGCACGTTCTGCAACGGGGAGGGAGAAACCGGGATTCCGTGAGCTGGGACTGCCGGGGGCTTGAAGCGGGGTCCGCCAGCCCAGGCAGCGAGAGGCCAGCGGACACCAAAGGTGTCTGCGGTGGAAGGAACGGGCCGGTTTTAAGATAAAAGGAGCCATCCCAGAGCTGCAGCCATGCACTCCTCTGTCTCAGTGTTCGGTTTAACCAGCCGGGAGGTTTGAGTGATTTGAGACTCTGCCCTCAGCCGCCCGGCAGCACCCACCTGCATGGCAAAGTCAGTGGTGACGCAGCCGACCTGGACGCCGACGGGAGCGGTGTCACAGTGCCCTGTGTCCTGCTGTGCCTGCTTGAGGTTGCTGGGTGTTATCCAGCCCTCGTCGTCGCTCTCATCCTCCTCTTCCTCAGCGCTGGCCTCGTCTTCAGAGCTCTGGTGCTCCTCGGTGGTCTCCGGGCTAGCGGGGACGGCTTGAGCTTTCTTTGGGGGAAGGAGATGGTCGGCTCTGGCCTGTGCCACGCTCAGAAATCAGGGGCGCAGGGAGAGGGGGCTCCGCTCTCACCAGCAGCTCCTGCAGCTCCTCCTCGATGCTGGGCAGGGGGGCTCGCCAGTAGAGGAAGGAGCTGAACTCGTCGCTCTCAGCTGGGACCGCGCTCCTCTCGGGGCTGGGCTGGCACCGGCCTTTCCCCGGGCGCTTGTGCTGCAGGGGGAGAGGGGTTCCCGTGCCCGTGGGCTCCGCGGGGCTGCACCCCCGGCCCCGGTGCCACGTCTCGGGGTGCCACCGCCCCGTCCCTTACCTTGGCGGGCAGGTGGAAGCCGGCGAGGTGCAGAGGGGCCTCAGGGTGCCGCGGGGTGGAGCTGAGCCGCACCTGGGGAGGCAGCACGGGGTGGGAGGGGGGTCGGTGGGGTGCCCCGGGGACCGGCACCCCATCGCGTGTGTGTGTGTGTGGGGGGGGTTCTCACCTTGTCCTGCGGCTCCCGGCGGAGGCAGCCGGCGCCGTCGTTCTCGGCTTGGAGGTGGCAAGTGAGGGCGAGCACCTGGAGGTCGGCGGCCGAGAGGCTGGGGTAGTCCCCGGTTTTCTTGGAGAATTCGGTCACTGAGGGAAGGGCACGGAGCCGTCGGGTCGGGTTCCCCCCGCCCCCGAGGCGCGGGGTCCCGGTACCGACCGAGGCGGGGGGGGGGGGGGGGGGGGGGGGTGCCGTTGGGGTCCCGGTACCGACCGAGGCGGGGGTGGGGGGGGGGTGCCGTTGGGGTCCCGGTACCGACCGAGGCGGGGGTGGGGTGGGTGCCGTTGGGGTCCCGGTACCGACCGAGGCGGGGGTGGGGGGGGGGTGCCGTTGGGGTCCCGGTACCGACCGAGGCGGGGGGTGGGGGGGGGTGCCGTTGGGGTCCCGGTACCGACCGAGGCGGAGGGCGGCGGGCGGCGGGCGGCGGAGGAGCAGCGCGCAGGGCAGCGCGGCCAGGCGGCGGCGGGTGGGCCTGTCGCGGATCTCGGCCAGCACCTCGGGCACGGTGTACAGGTTCTGCGCGATGTCCTGCGGGCGGGCGGCGCCGTCAGAGCGGCCCCGGGACCCCCCGGGGGGGTGTGTGTACCCCCACCCCCCCCCCCGGTACCTGCAGCGGGGCCGCGCTCAGGAACGCGCCGGTGTCGGCCACGACGTGCGCCACGCGCGCCATGGCCGCGGCCGCGGGGGACGCTGGGAGCTGTAGTCCGCGCGGGGTACACCGGGAGCGCCTGTGTCTGTTTCCCCCCGGCCGGCCCCGTGACTGCTTCCGGGCGGCGCGGTCAGGTGAGGCGGGCAGATGTCACATGACGGCGGGCGCTGGAGCCGGAAGCGGGAGCGGAGCGGTCGCCGGTAACTCGGGACGGGACGGGACGGGACGGGACGGGACGGGACGGGACGGGACGGGACGGGACGGGACGGGGGTGCTGCCTGGCACGGCCCTCTCGGGCGCTCCCGCCCCGGGAGCTATTGGGCCGCGGGCTCCGCCCGCTCCGGGCCGGTACCGGCCCGCCGAGGGGAGGCCCGGGGCCCAGGCGGGGCTGCCCCGGCCGCCCCCTCCCCTTCGCCGTGCCCCCGGGGCGGCGGGTAGCGGGGCCGGGGACTCTCCGCCCTCTCCGGCGGCCGCCGCTGACCCAGCCCGGCTCTGTGCGGGGCAGGACCCGGCCCGGTGGCGGTGCGGGGGGGGGGTTCCCCCGGCTCCTGGGGCTGCTGCGCGGCCCCGCGGGTCAGCCCCGCGTTAGCAGCGCGGTGGCGGGGCTGTCCCCCCCTGCCGCGGGGCGAGGCTGGGCCGTGGCAACGGGAACCCGCGGGGGAGGGGAGGCCTTGACCTTCACAAGAGGGAAACTTGGGGGGGTGTCGGTGAGGGGGCACCGCGGGCCGCAGCGGCTTAGTAACGGGGGCGGGAACGGAGAGCGACCCGTGGGAGAGGGGGAGTGGTGCCCGGGGACCGACACCGAGCGCCCAAGGGTTTGCTGGTGGTGGAGAGGTGTCAGTGTGGGCAGCGATAGTGACGTGGTGTAGGGCCAGGAAGAGAATAAAAGTGGGAAAAAGAGTCAAGATTTAAAAGGAAAAAGGATAGGCGCAGCCCAAACGGGGTGGGTTTCTGCTGTCACCTTATGCGGGAGGGCACCCGGCGGCCCGTGGGGCCCGGGGTCCCTTCTGCCCCTTCTGTCGTGGGGCGCACGGGCAGCTCGGATCTGCGCCCCGGTGCCGGGCTGCAGCGGGAACGGGGAGGGGAGAGCGGCCGGGCTGTGAGGGGACGCCTGCGTGGAGCGAGGGCTGGGAAGCGGAACCGCCTCCGTGCCGGGGAGCGCTCGGTGATCAACGAACCCCAAATCGGGGGGCGGGGGTGGCGAGGCTGCCGTCACCCCGGGGGGGGCGGCTGGAGAGGAGCCGGAGCGGAGCCACCCTTGGGTCTTGCCCTGGTAACTCTGAGGGTGCAGGTCACGCACGTTGGCATCAGAAAGGGGCCGGGGGAGAAGCTCGCTGGTCGGGCTAGCCCGGGGACTGGGCACAGGCTGGCGCAGGAGGGGCACGTGCGCCCGGCTGTTTTCTGCGGGCCGGCTTAATGGCACTAATTAAAGAAGTTGGTGATGCGGAGCTGGGGAGTCATAACAAACACGAGGAGTAACAATATCCTAAGGGAAGGCCCGGGTGATCTGTGGGCCGCGATAATTGGAGTAGGATTAATTGTAGTAACAGCAAGTGTGATTAGCTGTGTGGAAGACCTCCCTCCATAAGCCAGCTCTCCCGGGCTCATGATGGGGAGGAGATGGGTATGTGTCAGCAAGCTTTCCTCTGACAGCAGGGCCGAGACAGCAGCAAGTCAGGTCCCAGTCGAGGTTTTCCAGGTAGAGGTGGGGATTTAGAGGACACCGGCCAGGTCTCAGCGCAGCACGGGGCGCCGGGCGGGTTTACTGTGCTGGGCTAGGGGGATGAGGTCGAATGGGGCTGGCACAGAGAGCAGAGACCCTGGTTAACAAGAGGGGAGTTAAAAAGGCTTTGGGCTGGAGCTCGGTAAGGTCTGATGAGGGTGTGGGGAGAAGGCAGGGAAAAAAGAGAGACTCCTGCACAAGGAGGGAGGTGGTAGAGGCTGGAACTGGTGACGGTGCTTTTCTCCCCCACTTCATACATCCCTCCCCCGGATCAGGGGAGGGAGAGGTCGGTGGGCACTGCGGTCCAGGCCAGGCAGGACGGGTGCTCTTGGCTTCAGGCCCTTGGGAGGGGGATCAGGTTTGACCCCATCCGAGCCCTTGCTGCTGCCCTGGGCGCCAGGATTGAGGCTCCTCCTTGCTCCTGCCCAGGGGGTGGGCAGCAAATGTCCCCGACTGCCCCACTGTGTCGGGGGGCTTGTGCAGGCAGGGACCTTCTGGTCCGTGACCTTGATGCCTGCACCTGGGGCATCCTCTCCAGCTGCTCTGCCGGGGAAGTGCGGCGAGGAGGGGTGCTGCCCGCAGGCTCAGGAGGCCGATGCGAGTTGGGTGCTGACTCTGTGGTCCCAGACCGAGCACCTCGTGCTTCTGCTTGGTACGTGACCTCATCCTCCTACTTCATGATCCGTCGTTTCGGCGGAGGCGCCCAGCCACGTGTCCTGCCAGAGCCCCCGGGTGTTACAGCCTGCGTCCTTCCTGCCCGCTGCCTGTCCCCGGTGGGTGACTCCAGGGGAGAGCTGCCGCAGAAGGGCAGGGGGAAGCGCTGTGCCCGCTGTGACAGTGACGTGGCGCCGGAGAGGGAGGAAGTGGTGAGCGCTCAGGGAAGCGGAGGTCTGGGCTTGTAGCCCGCTCTGCAGTGCGATCCTCCTTTGTGTTCAGAGCAGCTGCGGTCCCTGTCCCCTCCACGGTGTGTTAGAGTAGATGGGACTGATTTTTTCCATGGGATTTTTCTGCCAGGAGGTGACCCGGGCTGTCCGGGAGGGCTGTGGCTGCTTCCCCATACTGTGACCGGACTTTCCTCTATTCTGCCACTGTCACTGCCTCGTCCTTTCCGAGCGATCCCTTGTGCCGTGGCCACGGGCTGTTTGTGAGCTCGTGTTGCTGCTCAGCAGCACAGAGCAGGGCATGAGACAGCGTATCTGCTGGAGGCTTTGGGGACTGTTCTGTCCTCGTGCCGGCTGTGATCAGCAGCGACCTTTGGGTCAGGGTGAGCTGCGGCCGCCCAAACGGGGTATCCGGAGGGCTGAGCACTGCCCAGCTTGGCTCAGATCTCTTCAGGCCGCGGCGGTGCCGTCGAAGGGGGTTTCTCTCCCCGGGGTGCAGCGTTGCCGTTGCCTGCGGTGCAGCGCTGGTTTATGGGGAGCAAGAGGGAACCTGTGTTTCCCAGGCGTGCGCCTGTCCGTTGCCGAGTCTCCCTGCCATGTGGGTCACTCGCAGCGACGGCCGGGCTGCGTTCGGGCCCGGGGATGGCTGACCTGGGACCCCCATGTGGGGCTGGCTCCCTCCGCACAGTGGGAGCGGGGCTGAGGTGTCTCCTCTCTCTCTGCTTCCAGCCGGGGGTGATGCCATGGCCGCTGCCAGCTCCAGCAGGGCCAGGGCCGGGCCGCCCTGCGAGAAGTCCCAGCTCTCCGTGAAAGGTGGGTCCCTCTGCCTCACCGGAGCTGGGGAACATGGATTTTGGGCGCGTCTGGTTTGGGGGGTGTGTGCTCTGCCTGCACCCTGGGCCTGGGAGACCTTCCTGGGGAGCGGGGGGGAGCAGGGGCTGGGGAAGGCCAGCGCTGCCCTGAGTCCCACAGGCGCCCGGGGAAGCGGAGCAGCCGTCGGCCGGGCTCTGCCACCTCCTCGCCGTGGCTCCGTGGCCCTGCCGGGGCCGCGCTGGTGCTCCCGTGGCCGCGAGATGGCTCCCGACCCCCGGAGCTGCCTCCCCGTCCCTGCCCCGCAGCCCCTGCGCAGGGCACCGCTGGCCTGGGGGGCTGCCGAGCCAAACCTGGTGGGTGCCGATACCCGGCGGCTCCAGCAGAGCCCCCTTGCCCCCCCACCCGTGCCCGCAAGCCCTGGGGTAGGGTCTCCCCTGCTCTGTGGGGACCGCAACGCTCCTGCAGCCCTCGGGTGTGGGGCCAAGGTGTGGGTGAAGCTGGGGACGAGCGGTGATCAGCGGCCGGCGATGGGGACACGAGTTTGACTCCGCGGTGAGTCGCAGCACCCCAAGCTGGCAGGGATTGGGGGGGGGTGTGGGGCAGGGGACAGGGTCTCCCCTGTGGCTGCCTGACCCGCTGCCTGTCCCGTCCCCCCCCCCCCTCAGTTGTGTCTGTGAAGCCCAAGGCGCAGAGCCGCCCGTCGCGGATGAACTGCTACGTGGAGGTGGCGGGCGACGGGCTGCCCAGCGAGACCAAGAAGACGGGGAAGCGGATCGGGAGCTCTGAGCTGCTGTGGAACGAGATCCTCGTCCTGTAAGTCTCCGCGAGCCTCCGGCGCGGGGCTGGCGCCGGGGGCTGACCCACAGTGCCGTCAGCTGGGGCCGCTCGGGTGTCAGACATCTTTGCCCCCCCAGGGACAGCCAGGCTGGGGGGTGGCAGGAGGAGGGTGTCCCCTTGCCTGCTTGCCTCCGCTCCCCGGCTTTGGCAGGCCTGGCCCTGCCGGCTCCCCGCGTGTGGAGCAGGGGTGAAGCCACGGTGACGGCCCCCTTTCTCTGATCTCGGCAGGAACGTCACTGCTCAAAGCCACTTGGACCTGAAGGTGTGGAGCTGCCATACCCTGAGGAACGAGCTGCTGGGCACCGCCTCCGTCAGCCTCAGCAACCTGCTGAAGAGCGGCGGGAAGCGTACGTATGGGGTCCTGCCCCCTCCCCTGCCCCGGGGCGCGTGGCGGGGAGGAGAAGCGGTGGCCGCAGCCCTGCGGTCCCCTGCCCCGGGGAGGGAACAAGGTGCCATTGTGCCCCCTGGGCCGCCTGTCAGGGCCGGGGCGTGACGGAAGCCATACCTCCGTCAGCCTGCGTGGAAACACAAACCCCCCCCCCCCCCCCTCAGCTATTTGCTGCCTTTTGCGGTCGCCGGAGCGCGGCTCGTGACAGCAGCTACCGCATAAAGGCGGCCATTCAGGGCTTGGGCCGCGCAGGCGGCGGCGCGGGGCTGGAAAAGGCTCGCTCTGTCTTTTCCAAGCAAAGTTCCGCTGCTTGCGCGAGACAGACCTGGTATTGAGTGGAGAGAGGGGCCTCCCGTGCCCCGGGGGGGGGGTACGGGGCTGCTTCGATCTCTCCCCGGTGCCAGGGGCTGGGGTAAGCTCCTTCCCCTGGCACTGCCAGCCG